AAAATTCAGCAAAAATTCAGCAAAAATTCGGGTTTTGGGGGTGGAAAATAGTCCTGAATGCAGGTGGGCACACCTGGGTACACCTGGGCACACCTGGGCACACCTGGCTGGACACACCAGGTGAATAGGGGGAAAAAAACCCAAAAAAAATCAGCAAAAATTCAGCAAAAATTCGGTTTTTGGGGGTGGAAAATAGCCCAGAATGCAGGTGGGTTCACCTGGGTACACCTGGGCACACCTGGGCACACCTGGGCACGCCAGGTGAGGTGTGGGGGGGGGAAAAAAAGGGAAATTTGTAGAAAAAAGGAAAAAATTTGGGGAAAAAAGTAAAAAAATTCGGGTTTTGGGGGTGGAAAATAGACCTGAATGGAGGTGGGTACACCTGGGTACACCTGGGCACACCTGGGCACACCTGGGCACACCTGGGCACACCTGGGCACGCCAGGTGATGTGTGGGGGGGGAAAAAAAAGGGGATTTTGGGGGAAAAAAGGAAAAATTTGGGGAAAAAAAGCAAAAAAATTCGGGTTTTGGAGGGTGGAAAATAGACCTGAATGCAGGTGGGCACACCTGGGCACACCTGGGCACACCTGGGCACACCTGGGCACGCCAGGTGAGGTGGAGGGAAATAAAAAAAGGGGATTTTGGGGGAAAAAACAAAAAAAAAATTGAGAAAAAATTTCCCCCCAAAATTGGGATTTTTTTTTTTCCCCGTGAATTTTCATTTTATTTTCTTTTATTTCATTTTCTTTTCTTTTTGAATTTAATTTGATTTAATTTAACTTAATTTAATTTAATTTAATTTAGTTTAATTTAACTGAATCTAATTTAATTTCACTTCGTTTCATTTTCTCTTTAAATTTTATTTTATTTTATTTTAATCAGTTTAATTTAATTTATTTTAATTGAATGGAATTGTTCTTTATTTTATTTTTTCACTTCATTTCATTAGATGTAATTTAATTTAATTTAATTTAATTTAATTTATTTTAATTTAATTTTATTTTATTTTATTTTAGCTTTATTTTATTTGATATTACTTTATTTTATTTTACTTTGTGCAATTTCATTTTCTCATTTAATTTAATTTAATTTTATTTAATTTAATTTTATTTTATTTTATTTTATTTTATTTTATTTTATTTTATTTTATTTTGTTTTGTTTTATTTCATTTTATTTTATTTTATTTTATTTTATTTTATTTTATTTCATTTTATTTTATTTTATTTTATTTCATTTTATTTTATTTTATTTTATTTTATTTTATTCTATTTTATTTTATTTTATTCTATTCTATTTCACTTTATTTTATTTTACTTAATTTAATGTATTTTGATTTAATTTTATTACCTTTTACTTAATTTAACTCGATGTAATTTAATTTAATTTAATTTAATTTAATTTAATTTAATTTCTTTCATTTCATTTCATTTCATTTCATTTCTTTCATTTCATTTCCTTTTCAAAATTTAATTTAATTTAATTTAATATCAATTTAATTAAAAAAATCCATTAAATTTCATTTTTTTTTATTTCCCCTCCCCCCCAGCTCTTCCTCCAGCGCCTCCCCCCCCTCCTNCACCTGTCCAGGTGAGAAGATGTCGCTGTCCCTCTTTGCCCTGCTCACCTTGACCGTGTTCCTGCTGCTCTTGGCTGACAAAGTCCCGGCCACGTCGCTGCAGGTGCCGCTCATCGGCCGTTACCTGACGGCCACGCTCGTGCTGCTCACCTTGGTGGTGGCTCTGAGCGTGGGGGTGCTCAACCTGCACCACCGCACACCTGGCACGCACGGGATGCCCACCTGGGCACGCCAGGTGAGGTGTGGGGGGGGGAAAAAAAGGGGATTTTGGGGGAAAAAGGAAAAAAATTGGGGAAAAAAGTAAAAAAATGCAGCAAAAATTCGGGTTTTGGGGGTGGAAATTAGACCTGAATGGAGGTGGGTACACCTGGGCACACCTGGGTACACCTGGGTACACCTGGGCACGCCAGGTGAGGTGTGGGGGGGAAAAAAAAAGGGGATTTTGGGGGAAAAAGGAAAAAAATTGGGGAAAAAAGCAAAAAAATTCGGGTTTTTGGGGGTGGAAAATAGACCTGAATGGAGGTGGGTACACCTGGGCACACCTGGGCACACCTGGGCACACCTGGGCACGCCAGGTGAGGAAAAAAAGGGAATTTTTGGGGAAAAAACAAAAAAAAAATTGAGAAAAAATTTCCCCCTCAAATTGGGATTTTTTTTTCCCCCGTGAATTTTCATTTTATTTTCTTTTATTTCATTTTCTTTTCTTTTTGAATTGAATTTAATTTAATTTAACTTAATTTAATTTAATTTAATTTAATTTTAATCAGTTTAATTTAACTGAATCTAATTTAATTTAATTTAATTTCATTTCCTTTTCTTTTTAAATTTTATTTTATTTTGATCAGTTGAATTTAATTGAATTTAATTGAATTTTTCTTTATTTTATTTTTTCACTTCATTTCATTAGATGTAATTTAATTTAATTCATTTTAATTTAATTTAATTTAATTTAATTTTATTTTATTTTATTTTAGCTTTATTTTATTTGATATTACTTTATTTTATTTTACTTTGTGCAATTTCATTTTCTCATTTTATTTTATTTTATTTTATTTTATTTTATTTCATTTTATTTTATTTCATTTCATTTTATTTTATTTAATTTTATTTTATTTTATTCTATTCTATTCTATTCTATTTTATTTTATTTTATTTTATTTTATTTTATTTTATTTCATTTTATTTTATTTTATTTTATTTCATTTTATTTTATTTTATTCTATTTTATTTTATTCTATTCTATTTTATTTTATTTTATTTTATTTTATTTTATTTTATTCTATTTTACTTTATTTTATTTTACTTTATTTAATGTATTTTGATTTAATTTTATTACCTTTTACTTAATTTAACTCGATGTAATTTAATTTAATTTAATTTAATTTAATTTCATTTCATTTCTTTTATTTCATTTCATTTCATTTCATTTCTTTCATTTCATTCCCTTTCAAAATTTAATTTAATTTAATTTAACATCGATTTTAATTAAAAAAAATCCATTAAATTTCATTTTTTTT